GGGAAGTGTTGGGGAAGTGTTGGGGAAGTGTTGGGGAAGTGTTGGGGAAGTGTTGGGGTACCTGTGGGGATAGGGGAGAGAACCTGGGATCGAGGCCAGAGGCTTTCTCTCTGTTTCGCTTCGTCACGTGATTCGAATTGCCCGATTGTTGAACATGATTCATAACTTATTGGTCGGTTTTTCCCAATTTTTTGGAACATTTTGCTTTGAAGATGGAGCTGAAGTTAGCTTGCAACAAAGGAGGGTGAATATCACGTTGTCATCACAGGAAAATTAAACGTGACTAGGTAAGGCATTATCAGGAGAAGTTGGCGAATTTATGTCAACAAGTGTTAGACAACCTTGTTTCTGAAAGTCCTTATTTTCCCTTGTTATTTTTAGTCAATCGTGTCTTAAAATGTTCCTTCTTTTATTAATAACATGAGCCAATAGCATACCTTATATAATTTCAACATTTAAGCTTAAGCTTATTACTGCTTATTACTGTGGACGAGATCGTTCAGGTGCACAATTTTGTGAAATATGGTCGGTTTTTTGTTTGTTTATTCACTGTTCATTGTTTACCTCTATCGATGCAGTTGCACTTATTAACGATTGATAGTTACTTCATCCATGCTGTTCTGTCTAGATCTCAGCTCAAGTTTAACTCCTGTGGCAGAAATATTGAAATATTTGGTTTAACTTCAAGTTGTGCAGCAACCTAGATGCTGCAATAACATTTAGGTGACATAATCACATATAGGTCTACTGGCTAGTGCTTACTTCTGTGGGAATATATTTACCATCATTGCATTATGTTAGAGTCTTATCTTTAAGCTGGTTTGTTAATGCATTTAAGTGCTGCATGTGAGTTACAATTCAGGGCGTAACAGGGTAAGCAATTTCAAAATTGTATGAACATTCAGAGAGGGCTGAGTTGAAATTACAAGCACAATTACCCCCTGAATGGTACAACACGTGGTCCAGTCACTTATAATTAAGAAAAAAAACAAAAAACATGTACCATGTTTCTATCAAGTTTTAGTATAAATCTACTAGTATTCTATCACAAATGCCGTTCTCTGAATGGCTCTGCTACTCACTGTCTATTCTGTTGTAGATAGTGAGTAGAGTAGCAGTGTGCCCTTGCTAACAAAATGATGGCCGCTTCTTGGCATTTTCAAAGTATCTGTGAACAGGATTTAGATAAAGTTTTGAACGAGCATTAGATTTATACTAAAACAATTAGATTATTCGCTCTTGATTTCTATACGTAATAGTTGACGAGGGCACAGCTCGAGTCAGCTATCACGCAATAGAATATTGAGAGAAGGAGAAATGCTGTTGGAATAAGAGCCGACAGGCACATGTTTCCACAGCTTTTTCAAGTTTTCCCAAACCTCCACGAGTCAGGTAGTTGGTGTGCAATCATGTGGGTGTCCAATCACAGGTATCCAATGACAACTTTTAGTAATTAGATACTTGCAATTGCATACCCACATGATTTACACATCAACTGTGCGTGCTCTAATGGCTTCTCAATTTTTCCTACAGTTTTTAAAGGTTGGAGTCATAGTCAGAGTAGTGAGAAAGCTTATGACCTAGCGAAAATCGGAAATCAGAGTTGTAAGCAGAGTTGTAAGCTCGACGGAATCGGAGTCGCAAGAATCAGAAGGTTTCCATTTTTTATGACTCCATCGCCAATGATCTAGGGAAAACTAGATTGTCAGAGTCGGAAGCAGAAGTGGAAGAACTAACCAATAATTTTGTGCTTTATGTCATAAAAAATAAAACCGTCTATTTCTTAAAGTCAAATTAACAATGGTTACTAAGAATTGCAAAACATGGTCAAGTAAATTAAAATATAATTAAATAAAAAGCTAAGAGCAGCTCACCAGTATTTGCACAAAGTTCTCTTTGTGAACGATACGAACAGCAATTGAAACAACATGAAAATGCAGTTAAATATTAACTGTACCACTTTTGAGTCTCAGAGTTATAATTTGACATTCTTTGGTATCCATAGCTTGCAAGTTCCAGCTTAACACTGGATAAAATTTACAGAATACTGGGCACTTTTACTACTAACCTTTCATTTCTCCTTCCAGCTGGAAATATCATCGGGCTCATGGCATTACGTATAAAAGGACATGGTGGTCATGCACTAGACCAACTGGAATATGACATATTTTGGACAGAGTTCAGGGCCATAGAGGAAAGCAGGAGCCCCATACCTGAAGAAGACCATGATGATGAGTCCAGTAAAGAACCTCCAGGAGGTACATGTATGGTTTTAAATGGTGTATGTAGAGATGTAGTATCCCAGTATGATCAGTAATCTGCGAGTTTTTGGCTGTCTAGATCTTGAAATCTCACAGAGATTCTCATCAAGATATCAAAACCTCGGAGGCCAAAAAACCTCGCAGAGAAACTGAGAGATTTCTCAGCAATCTTGACGGCATGTCAAAATGTCAACATATCCAGATATCATAAATATCATAAAATGATTTATGATATCCAGGTATCATAAAATTAAATCACAAAATTCAGGAAAGTTAACACAATGTCAATGTTGAGAGTAATACATGTAACCTCTAGCAGACAAAAGAAACACACTGAAATATGACTCCACTTAATCAAAAACAACCAGATTTATTGACAGATAAGATCATCACATAAGGCTTTAATACAGTATCAGACACTTTCACCTTCACTTCACATTAAGCTACATTTTATGAAAGGAAAATCACGTTACTGAAATTAGAAATACAGGAGAACAAACCTTTATCTGTGGGTCAATGCCCTTTACCTTGAGCAAACAAGAATAATTAACCTGATGTACTAAACTATTTGTCAGCTGCGAAGAATTGAAGGAAATTCATCTGGCTTGGCTACAACGTCACGTCAGAATGAATGTCCTGAAAGAGGTTTATCTTCATCAGCTTCTCAAGTTTTGCACTCTGGCAATACAACAATTTTGTTCTGCAGACACTGAGTTCAGTCGTTAAGTCATTTCAGCAAGTCTTGAAAAAACTGGCACAAGATGTCCACAATTCTCTTGTGAACACTCATGGTCTTACTCACACTTGCAATAAAAACATCAGCAATTAGTTTACCATATGTCTTTTTCTAGAACAAAGCAGCTCATAACTAAGTTCTTTATACTTTCAAAAACATCTGACAGAAAATTTTCCACAACAAGAACTCTGAAACTAACTTTCCTGTCAAGACTTCAACTTTGAGGGATGGTGTGTACTTTATCCCATGTGACAAGACATCCAATCACAGTGCTTAGTTAACTACCTTAGTGAGAAGTATCCCCACACTCTGTCAGTTAAGTGCAAACAAAATGGTGAGAAAGCTGTTCAAATAAGGCAACCCTTACCATGATCATGGAGTCTGGAAATACTACAGAAATACTTCTGCTTATCCTGTTGATATGACACCATTACACACCAAAAAATGCTCAAGTGAAATATTTAACATCATGGTGACTGCAATCTGGCTCACAGTGAATTACCTCTAAAACATAGGCACTAATTTGTATTGGAGTTCCCGCTTGCTGGTTTCCATTGTAATATTTATCCCTGATGTCTTAACATGTCCAAAATTTAGATATAGGGCAGCTGGAACTTTTCCTTTGATGTTTGAATGTGAAATACACGTATGCAACACGTTTACAAAACTTTACAAACGTCTTCTGCTTATGGAAGTCTGCCATAGTTGTTTTCCACAAAACCAGCTCTTAGTCTAGCTTGGCCAAATTTCTTATCTACATGGGGCGATCATAGAAACTCGCGGTGGCAGCCCCCACCTCCCTGAATGCACTTCGTAGTTTAGTGAACTTTAGTCATTAGGAACCCTGGTGAAATGCTTGGTATGGTTTTCAGTGTGTGGTCTCCTGTTTTGATTAACTATAGGAATCTCTGATTTTCTCTTTTGTGCTGATACAACTTAAATCATTCTGTTTTTTTTTTTCCTCAATAGAATGTGAGCAAGAAATTCAATGGCTCAAAGAAGCTGGTTTTGATGCCATTGTGAAGAAGTACAATGGTAAGATTTGTAACTGTACATTAGTGGTGTAATGATTCATATTCCTTGCGATTCGATTCAATTTCGATTATCGCCTTTCGATTTCGATTATTTCGATTCGATTATGCAAAATATTAATATTTTTTCATTCTTGCAACATGATACACAATGTAAACAACACACAATCCTAAACTCTCAATTTGAGGATACAATACTAGCAGGAAAATCATTAATCTATTACAAGGATGCAATAAAAAAACATGCAATTTGTCAGTGTTCTTCTTTGAGTTCTTTCTAGATCTAGTGCGCCCTAAATTTTTCTTTAAAAAAAGTAACTTATCTACATGTTCAGTACGCAAACATGACCTCTGAGCAGACACAAGGTCCCTTGCAGAAGAGAAAACTCTCTCACTGGCCAATGATGTGGCAGGAACACATAGATATCTTTTGGCCAACTTTGACAAAATAGGGTATTCGAGCTCATTTGCTTTCCACCACGACAACAGATTAGAGTTCAATGGCATGATTTATGCACTCTGCTGGGTAAGTCATATCTAGACTCTAGAACGTTGATCATGTGTTGAAACCGTTCATTTTCCACAACTGAATAGGGCCTTGTGTCCTTTGCAATAAAAAACTCTGATAGACTTCATTATCGCCGTTGCCCTGTTGCCTGACTGTGGCCATTTATTCTTCATAACATCCTGAATTTTTAACTGTCCTGTTCCAGTACTGTTTTTTGTACCTGGTGAAGTTTTTATGTCTTTGAGTGCAACACTGGTGACTTTTCATCAATGCTGTGTTGATGTTTTAAGTATGCACTCATGCTTGAAGTTGAACCGGCGCAATACTTGAAAGTTGCTGAGCAAATTTTGCAGATAGATTTAGACTTGTCTAGATCTGTTGTACCGTCTTTAGCTGGAAAGCCATGATATTTCCACACAGCGGATCTAAAGACTCACCATTGCCTGATCATTTGTCGCCATGTTTGAGAATGTGACAATGAGCATGTCACACATGGTTTGCTTTATTTGAAAATTCTCAAGGGGTGGTAGAAAGACAACATTTCAATCAATAACGCACATTTTAAAGAGTTCTGGATTCTAATTTCACGATATAATGACTCACTGAGGGCACCCTGGGAAAGGTATGCAAAAAACCGAACCAAAATCGAAACAGAGAATCAAAGAATCGTGAATCGAACCGAACAGTCATAATCGCGATTAATTGAGAATTCGATCAATTGTTACACCACTTCTGTACATACGTGTAGTTATCTCATGGCCTCCTAAGAAGTATTGTTTTACCCTATTCCTAAAAAGGTTGAGGGTTTGAAAGATAAGTAACCTGCTCTGCAGGTATCAGTAGCAGTTAAGTCTTGCAGCGACTTCCCCAAGCTTTGTTTTCGCTAATTTAGTGGTGCTATTTAATGCTCTTTTATACCTCTTCTTGTCCGATCTAGCATGTGCCAGTGGAGTGGGCTCGTAGTGCTGGGGAGATAAGTAAGGCTTGAGAACTGTTTACATTCTAGCATGATGCTGGCTAGAGGTCAGCTTGTAGTGCCATTTAGAGTTAGGCTTCTAGGACATGTAAGCTTTTGGCCTTGCCGACTTGTCCGATCCAGTGCAGAATTAACCACTGGGGAGATAAGTTTGGTATTTGGTCACGCAATGGAAGTTCTTCTGTCATGTCGATTGCGGAGCGATGTTCCCCCCTTTACGCCATATATCGCATGTTTATTGCTTGTGATTGTTGGGGTATTTAAAGCATTACTCCCAAGGAACTACAACATTAATTAGACCTACATGTATAACCTGTAATAGTCCACCTGTTAAGGGCCAAAATTATTCGTTTTTTGATGAAAGCATCAAACTTGGCAGGGTTACTAACCTTTATAAGACAAATATTTCCTGATATGGAGCCATGCCAAATTCTCTTCCAGAACCATGGAATGCACATGTCAAAAATATGACATACAAGGTCCTAATATGGAAACAAGGCTGATGCAAAATACCATTTTTTTTTTTTGCCTTCTGGGACTACTATGCCCAGTGTCTTGCTTTTTTAATACAACAACAAATTAACCAGTGCCTTTGAGTCTTAAATTATGTCATGTGATAGTCACATGACCATTATTTTCAATTACCAGCAAAGCAATAGGCACTGATGAAATCATTACCATTCTTTACATGCCAACTTTATCATTTGCAATGTAGATTCTATTATCTGGACTAGAAAATTCAAACCTTAAATGTATGTTTGGGATATGCTAAAAACGTAATATCAGAACTATGCATCATATCAAGGGTGAGATACAGAGTCAATTTATGTAGGTTTCATGCATTGATATGATTTTCTTGTGTTACTTGCTTATTTTGCATTTGAAACTTTCAAATATACCGGAATAGATCAGGTGTGTTACAATAAACGCTAGCTGAACTTTTTGGTCTGAAGGAAATGTTTTGAAAAACAGCTTTCATTGGCTATAATGTTCCTATGCCTGCTTTTAAAAACACTAGTTGAATAAAGGTTCTTCTAGTTGCAATTTCCACCACGATTGCACAAACCGGTACAGTCAAGATTAGCCTTCAAGCATATGTTAATTTTGTAGGAGAACAAGAGTTTCCAATCACTTTTGCTGCAATAGTTTCCAAAGGAAATGCAGAAAAAAAAGGAAATAGCATTAAAACGTAAAATACATCAATCATATCAATTTAGATAATGCAGCCTATGAATCTGTTTAGGTTGCTTTTAAAGTAGTTTTGAACTTAAATGAGAAAACAAGGAAACTTGTAATACGACCTCCTGGATAGTACATTTTATGTCTGTAATAAATGTAATCTTATATTAACTTATCTATCCATC